ATAGATAAACATCTATTAATGTACTTTCTTTACGCTTTATACATTTGGTTGGGTCATTCTACCTGTGTATGCGATAATGAAGCATTATTCGTGCCTCTATTAACAGTTTGTGTGGTTTGTGGAAAATAGGACAAGAACAATAAAATCTCCATTACCGTATTTAAACCGTAATTTGGAAATCCGGTATTTTGTAGAAGGTGGGCATCATTAAAAGCAAAACTTTTAATTCAATCGAATTGTACCTTCAAACTGGCAAAATAAAATCACTCTTCATAAATAAATAAAGGATATTGTTTACAGTGAAATATTGCAAAAAAAAGAACTTTTTTTAAAAACAATATCAACGTCGAGACTCGTATGAATGCAACGGCGCCGTTCCCAACTTAACTTCCGAATTAGTTTAACATGTTTTCCGCCAGAGGTCTCATTGTATTGTAACACCTGTGCCTACTTTCTATGCGTACGCGCAGACATTTCAGTTACGTAGAAGCTATTAGTTACGTGTGAGTAGTCGGGCCTTCCTTCCACGCGTCGAAAAATTTCACTTTCTTTTGATAACAAATGTTTAAGTAAACGTCCGTGTCAAAAAATACCGACCCGTAAAGATAAAACGTTTCGAAGGCAAGAGGTGCCGCGAAATAGCCCGAGGCAATCAGCGACACACTTCTCGACCTTGTAATAAGATTGTATTTTTCAATGGCTTACTGGTGCACAAGAAAATGGTAGTTCACCTGCGTAGACAGTGGCGGGTAATAACGTAATCAGACATAGTAGGAATAATGTGTTTTGACCAATTTAGGAGGGATTTAGATTATATTTCCTGGAGCGTGTGCAAGTGTTCATTCATGAAATGCGTTGAAATAGCGTCTATATTAAATCTGGAGTACCTCAAGGTAGTATCCTGGGTCCTATACTGTACACTGTTTATACTTGCCAATGTCATCGATGATCGTAACCACAAACCAGGATTTTGATGACCGTAACCACTAACGAATTGTGACAATGATCATTTACTTAAAATTAATCCAGTAAAGTCGTTTGTTGTAGTTTTTGAAACGGAGGTACATTTGAAAAGGTATAAAAGGAATTCTTAATAAAAGTTGTTGACTTGCCATTGAGCATCGGCTTATAACTAGACTATAAACTTAGATTTGGAGCGCATGTTACTTGTAAGCCTAGGAGAGCCTACTGTGTATTAAAACTACTAATTTATTCCCACGAAGAAATAAAAAAAATTCTTAAAATACTTAAATCAGTGCTCTGCAGTCTTTGGTCCTTGTCTTGGCTTAGCAGATAAAAGACGTCTACAAAAGCTTAAAAACTCCTACGTAAGGTTAACAGGTTTCAGGATCACTTAATATGCGTAATATATTACATATAGCATCTTTTATCATGCCATTATTCTTTTTATTCTTATTATTCTCTGCAATACTGTGAAAAATAATTGCGAGTATTCTCGAACCCAGGGCTATTAAGCGTTGTTTGCAGAATTTGTTGTTGCCGTTTCAATTAAAAAAAAGAAGTGTTTTCAAAAAAAAAAAAAACGAAAAATCTTAAAAGTAGCGGGGCTTCCTGTTTAGATGGCTTATTATCGCTTACAAGAAACAAGGAAAGCGCATTAGCGGCAGCTCTCGAGAACAACTGATAACCGGGCGGCCATGTTGGAATTACTGCGTAATGTTTATCGCGCGGGATGGTAAACCAGACAAAATCCGAATTCTATTGCTCGAGTGGTTTTTGACTTGCCGTGATTGATCAGGAAGTTTTTGAGGATAAGGAAAACAATGACGTTCTATTGTTTAATGGAATGACACGGATGCTTTATACATATTTTTATAGAATTAACATACTCTGCTCGTTTTTTCTCAAACATACTTTTATTATTAAAAATGGAATAACACATTTTCAGTTACATTTAGTTTTAACATTGCAGATATGTTTCTCTGTCCTTTTTAGACTAAAGACCAAAACGCGTCCCGAATCTAACTAAAACCTCAAACTTTCAAACTTTGGATTTTGTTTGTCGGAATTTAAGCAGCGAACATACCGTCAAAACTGCAGATATCAACTTAAAATCTCACTTTCTGGTTCTAATAGTTGCCTTTACTTGTGGATTTCCATCAAATTCCAGTCAAAATCGACATACATTGTATCAAAATGTATTCTAGGACAGATAGTAGCTTTTCCTTCTTAATTTTGGACAAATTGCAGTCAACATTGACTTTTCCAACAATTGTACCGAAATCTTTATTTCGAATAGATTGCAGTCAAAATCGAGTTTTTTGAAACTTATCGTAACGAATACTTCATCGAACCTGCAGATATCAGCATAAAACCTGTTTGGGGGAAATAGTTTGCTTGTCCTTATGGACTTCGATCAAATTGCAGTCCAAATGGACATATATTGCATCAATACTATTAATTCTTGATTGCGAACAGATTAGAGTTAAAACAGACTTTTGAGCCACTTATTCTAACTAAAAGGGCATAAAACCTACAGATATTAGCTTCAAACCTCACTTTCTGTGTCATACAGTATACTTTTCTTGTCGGTATCGATGAAATTCCAGTCAAAATCGACTTTTCCGACACTTATTATTATTATTATTACATTAAACCTGTAGATATCAACTTAAAACCCGTCTCTTGAGGCAAATTGTAACTTTTAATTCTTGATTGCTAACAGAATCCAATTAAAATTGACTTTTTCGCCCGTATTGTAACTAAAACGGCATAAAACCTACAGATATCAGATTTCTGCCACATATTGTACATCAAACCGGCAGATATCAACTTAAAACTTATCATTTTTGGTAATTTCGTATTTTTTTTCCTCATATCACGCTTAGCCGTTTTAGTATTAGAACTTGTGTGTAATAAATTTTAAAAGTACAAATTTTAAAATGATATGCCAAATCTTTACAGTGTGGACTCAGTCTTTATAATTTTTTAAGGGCGACGATCGACTCATTAACTCAGGAACTTAATGCTATCGTACTCGTAATGGGAAACATCGGTGCATATGGCAATTTTTCTTTCTTCTTTGTTCCAAATCTTTAATTTTTTTGGCTGTACAACTAAACTGAGCTGTTTTAATTTTAGAGTCAACGTTAGGTCCGTCTGAGTAGATTTTTCAGTGGCTTGATTCTTTACTGTCCCAAAACATGTCCTGGCTGTTCTTTTGAATAGCTGACAAAAAAACTTTCTCAACACAAGTTGTAGGCTTTTTCAATCTTTTTCATTTGTTATGTCAATAAACCAACTACACCAACTAACACGAATGTTTTTATGCAATACCTAGAGCTACGAAAAGCAAAATACACTTTAAAATCAACAATTTACACTTTCAACAGACACAAAATAAGATCATTTGCTAAAAAGGAAAAAGTTTTGCTTTGTTTTTTTGCCCGGGGACGCCATATTGGATTAATTTGGACAGGTCAGTCAGTATGCTTCAACATTGCTATTTTTTTTTCAAAATTTGGAGCGCAATATTTGATCGGCGAGTCACGGATTAAGAATTGATAAGTCGTGAAATTGAGAATTTTTTTAAACAGTCCGTAAAGCACTGGTCCTAAGGATACAATTAATAAATTTATAAAAAGAATAAATAGAAAAAAAAAGGTAAGTATACAACCCATTACTTAATCCTCTTACTATTATACATTGTAGAGTACCTATATTTAATTTAAATTCAAATTAATATATTTATTTATATTTCTTACATTTTCTGGAAGCTTATTATAAGTACATGCTGCTTGGAATACTGGATTGCAAAGTACTTTATTAGTTCTGATATTATAATTGTAGATGTCGTTATGAGATCTGGTGTCATACACGTGAACGTCTTTATTAAATATAATCTTCATGTTAGACTTTTGTATTTTATTTATCACCGTATACATAAATTTACATTATTCTAGCTTAAGCAATTTGTCTATGTTATAAATGTCCAATTCTCTATACAAGTTTTATGTGTCCGTGCGATGGTCATAATTAAATAAAATTTTTTAGGTATCTCATATATGATACAAAATAAGAATTGTAAATATTCATTTTACTACTGTAACTCAGATAATTTCGGCTTTTATATATGGAACTGACCATTGGGCAAATTTTATTTGATTTAAAATTAGTATGCTCAGTCCAGTTTAAACTATCATCGATCAGTAGGCCTAGATATTTAATTCGTTTAACACGTTCTATATTTATATTGTCGATATTTAGTCTTGACATAATTTATTACCCAAAAACCAGTGCGTATATATATATTTTTAATCAGAACGTAATTTATCTTGTAAATCATTCTCACTTTCACCACTATAAAGTGGCACTGTATAGCTGAAATACTCTGCACACTGCAAATTTAATAAATATAACGAGTACAATAATGGTCCCAGGACTGAACCCTGAGGAACGCCATATACACTTATTGCATTTCACTTATAACGTTGTTTATTTGAACATATTTTTTTCTATCCAATAAATAAGTTCTTATTAGCCCGTAAATACTCTCTCTGAAACCCGTATTATTTAATTTCGATCGAACCATTTACAAGATCCATCGTAGCGCTCTAGAATACTGTTATTTATTATGAATCCATCTTGATACTCATCAAGGCAGATATATTTATATATAAGAGAGATTTTTAACAATAGTTTTATTAATTTTAGTTTTAACAATTTTTGAGAAGGTGATAATTAAACTTATGGGTCTATAATTACTCATATCATCCTTAGGCCCATTCTATGCCCATAGGTATCAGTGCATCTTGTAAATTGACAACGTCTCGGGCCGTAGTTTGATCATGCCCAGGGGCAGTTTTTTTTTTCAATTTGATATAATTGATAAAAAAATTGTCGAAAATAATAAAACCTTCCTAGTAATTTAAACGCTTACGGCATCGCTAGTCCGCCCGCCGTAGCTCCGCCCATGACTCCTCACCTGTTGACTTGGCGGCTCGGATGTGGAAAGAGCGAGAAGAACCTAAGAACGCGAGTATACGGCGCGGCCTCAACGTGAACGGTGGAACGCGAAACCTTTCTATTTTACCAGAGTTAAAATTTGATTTTCGACAGGTTCCCAACCTTCTTTTTTGTACGAGAAAGATGCCTGCGTGTAGTGTCTAAGTTCCCACTGTGAAAAAAGTTCGTGACGAGCTACTAACGGATAATTTGGTGCGAATTTGAAAGGTATTTTTAGCTGAAACTGACCTTATAATTATCACCTATCTGGGTACCGCAAAATACTTTGATTTGTTCGTGTTGCTTGAAACGGCTGGCTTTCCGGGAGGTTTTCTTTTGAAACACGAAAAACTCGTAAAGAGTAAGGACGTCATAATACAGGGTGTTTCATATCGAATGCTTCATAGAATACAAACATATTCTTTGTGTCCTAAAGTCAAAACTGAAGCTACAGGTGATAACAATAATATTATTTTTTTCATTTTTTATTACTTGCTTTTTTTTTTAAATATAGGTGCAAATTTCCAATGCGGTTTTCGGAAATGAGAAATTAGATGACGCCATTTTCATAGAGTTTTGTTGCAACAATGTCATTATATTTGTATTGTATTTTTTTAAATTCAACTGCTGATAAGACAGGGTTTTTTTCTAAGAAAAAAAGGCAGGGGAGGGTGGAGCAAGCTTTTTATTATTTTTGGTGGCTTTTAACCATCAAGTCGATTTATTTTTGACTAACTTTAAATAAATTTACCCAAATTTCGGCGAAGCTTCTGGCCGTCGTGCACCACTCTCCTCTATTTATAATAATAAAAAGAAAACGTAACTGATTAGTAACTATTTTTCTATCAATTAAAAAATTTGTTATTGGTATAAGTATTTCGAAAGCTCTGGCTTTAGGCTAAATCCATAGAATTATCAAAAAAATAACGCTTTCAATAAATTAATTATTATTCGAAAATTGATTTGAGGTGGCCTTTACTTGATGAAAACCCATTTAACAAAATAAATAAGAAATAAAAGTTCAGATTTTCACTAAATTATATATTTTTATATGACAATTGTTTCGGCAACACCGTGTCTTTATGAAATGTAATATTTACAAATTACCTGCTACTGTATATACCGAAAAATGACAATGAAACCTTAATTAATGTTGTTGTGAGAATTTAAGTTTAATAATGGAGAGGTATTTAAATCTAATTGATCGTTAAGCGATACATTTGAATGTCTCATTTTGTTAATCTCCATGGCTTCCAATAAATTTAATTTTCTACTTTTTGTGGCTGTGTGTAATATATCAAAATTGTCGTCAAAAATGTGTTTTTCTGTGATTAAGTGTGTAGCATAATTAGAATCTAGACTAATATTTTTAAACGCTCTTATATGTTCGTTAATGCGTTTCTTGAAGGATCTACCTGTTTGTCCAATATAAATTTTAGGACAAGATCCACATTTTAACCTGTAGACACCTGATTTTTGAGATTTTAGACATTTCGATTTATTGTTTTTTAAATATTTTCCTATTGTGTTGTTAGTTCTGAAAGCTATTTTTAAACCACATTTTGACAAATGTTTTGAATTTTTTTCACTGGGTTCTCCTATGTATGTAATTGTTTTAAATTGTTCGTGTTCTGTATTAGGTTTCGAATAAATAGAGTTTACTGTTGTCTGGATTTGTTTTTTATTTATAATTTTATCGATAATGGACGGATTGTAGCCGTTGTTCACTGCAATATGTTTTATAATATTAAGTTTTAATTTTCTGTTGAGAGTGACGTATTAAGAAATCTGTGTATAAAATAGTGAAATACAGCCATTTTGTATGTATAAAGGTGATTTGAGCTGTTATGTATGACTGTGTCCGTGTGTGAAGGTTTATGATACATGTAAAAATCTCATTTGTTTTGAGTTTTCGTAATATTTAAGTCTAAAAAATTAATAGAGTTATGCTGTCCAATCTCGAAAGTGAATTTTATACGATTATGTAATGAGTTAATGTAATTTAAAAATGAATTCAATTGTCTGTCCGTTCCGACAAAGCAAGCAAAGACATCATCCACGTATCTATACCACCACAGAAAATTTTTACTTAAAGGATGTTCTAGTATGACATTTTCAAAATTATCCATAAAAATCTCTGCTAACAAAAGACTAAGTGGGTTTCCCATAATCAAACCTTCCTTAGAGATGTAAATGTGTCCATTTAATTCAAAATAATTTTGGTCTAAAGACACTATTAAGCAATCTAATAAATCTTGTTTCACCAATGGGTTAACCTGTTTCCGAGTTAAGGTGAAATCTACTAAATCTACCACATCCATAGGTGGAATACTGGGAAATAAGTTTTGTCAATCAAAAGACAATAGGGATTTTGATATCTTTAATTTTATTCATTAATTCAAAAAAATTTTGTATTGCAAATTTTGGTTTAAAATCTGTATGGAACTTTAAAATGTTTAGGTACTAATTTCGTGGAGAGTTTAACTGCTGGAGCTGCCCATAAGACACGTCTGGTCTAATGGGCATATTTTGTTTATGTAATTTAACTAAAGAATATAATTTCGGCGGTTGTGCATTCATAATTGTTAAAAAATACTTTGTTACTAAATGGTGGGGAGTTAGTAATTACTTCCTTGACTTGTCTTTGAAATAACTCGGTACGATTGTATTTGATACATTGGAAAAGTTCTGGTTTAAGAAAATTGTTGGTTTTTGAAATATATTCTGGGAGATCGATAGCTATGACTGTCTTCCCTTTATCTGAATTATATTATCTTCAGAAGCTTTGTTTTTGATAGTTCTTATATACATACGAGAACCCAGTGAAAAAGTTTCAAAATATTTGTCAAAATGTGGTTTAAAAATAGCTTTCAGAACATACAACACAATTGGAATTTTTTTAAAAAACAATAAAACGAATTGTCCAAAATGTCAAAAATTAGGTGTCTACAGGTTGAAATGCGGATCTGGTCCCAAAATTTATATGCTTTTACTTTTTGCCCGTAGAGCTGTTTTTATTTTTTATAACAGATATCCGTGAGAGTTGGAAGAAAATCCTCACTTGATACGGGAAAAATGTTTACAGCACAGCAAAAATTTTCTATTAGGACCATTTGAATTATATCTAAATCTTAATGCATCCATATTTTTACATTTTTTACAACACGATTTCATAGATGACTTACTTTGGCCATAAGAAATTACAGGATACCTTCTGGAATGGCCGCCACGTAGTCCCGATTTGAATCCAATTGATTTATTGTTTTTGGGGCTTCAGACCCAATTGACAGTCGTGAAGATCTTTGGCGTAAGATTCGGAATGCTGTTAAGAGTTCCGAATCAAAAACTCATTTTTTTTTAAATATTCCTTCATTGAACGAATTACAAAACACTTTCAAGTTTTTGTTTTTTTTTTAATAATTATTGAGTTAATTAATTAAGTCAAATTTGATTTGATTACAATTATATCCATTTTTTTTTTCGTTTTGGTTAGTTAGTTAGGTATTCAATGGCAACTATGGAGTTCATATAAAAGTAATATTTTTAGTCAGCCAGGGAGTTATTGAACAATTGAACAATAATACTTTTTTTTGCTTAGAAATAATAAGAATAAAATAATGACCCCGTCTTATCAGAAATTAAATATGAAAATATACTTGGACTTAGATATGGAACAATTATCCCCTCTTATTTAGAAAATACCAAAAAATGATCCTCTCTTATTAGCAATTAAATATTATTGAATTTTTGCAAAAAGTATAAGTAATAAAAAATGAAAAAATAAAATTACTTTTATCATTCTGTTTCTCCGAAGTTTTGACTTTAGCACACAGGTTTATTTGACAAATCGATATATTGTGATACAAAGAATATGCTGGTATTCTATGGCCCGTGCGTTTTGAAACACCTGGTTTTTAATGCCGACTTTAACGTCGCATTAACTTTGCCCTTGAAAGCCGCCTTCTTAGCGGCACTGGGTTTCCAAAATTATATTCTAATTAGCTCGCCCGTAATTCGACATTCACGTACTAGATTTAACCTTCTGACACAATAGGTTATGAAGGAACAGAGGTGAAAATTCTTGAAAGTTAACGTCAACTGCTTACACGAGTTTTTATTAAAGTTTGATCATATTTCGATTTGTTATAGCAGTGACGTTTCCTACATTCCTAGTTTTCTAGGTAGAGCAAAATCGACTTACATGGCAAGGGCTCGATTTTTGAGAAACATTTAATGGTTAAATACGCATGGCCGATGTATGATAACGCATGGTAACGTCGAAGCTAATCTTAATTTGGATCTAAAAAGTCTTTTTCGGTATAGTAATTAACACTATATTAACCTAATTCTCAAAAAAAAAAACAAATTATGCTATTTCCTTCTCCTGAAAGCTATTTTTTTTGTGTGATAGTATTAAAATTCAATTGGAAAATGAAGATCTTAAATTTACAAGTGAAGCAAAAAACTTAGGAGTGAAATGGATGTCCAATTGAGATATAGTGGTCACATTTCTAATTTACTTAAAAAGACTTATATATCCCTCAAACCGCTACATGCAAATAACCATATATTGAATGAAAAAAATACTCCTTTCTAAAGTTATATACTGTCTTCCAGAACAGCTGTGCCCGATTCGTTTATGGTTTGAGAAAGTTTGATTATATATCAGGAAAAATATTTGCGATGAAATTGCTTAAAATTAAATATCTGTTTCAATTTTTACTCGCAATTCTTGCATTTAACTTCATGAAATATTTTTTTTCTACTCCCCCTGTAAAATACCTAATTACACGCCGATCTAGCGTGCGGGAAGCGTCACTTTACCACGTCAGTTTCGTTTCCCACGGATCCGAGCCACTTCGAACATTTCCGGGATTTTACCACGCTTTGAATTTTGACGTTTGTCAATTCTGACCCTCATGTCAGTGAAGATATTCCTGTTGCTCCTATTATAACGAGTGAGTTAAAAAGTTTTCCTACTCCGGTCTGTAAAATACGTAATTACATACCGATATAGCGTGCGGGAAGCGTCACTTTACCACGTCAGTTTCGTTTCCCACAATTCGAGCCACTTCGGACATTTCCGGGATTTTATCGTACGGGTTTGGGAGCAATCGGATGTTCTCGGAGATGATCCTCACGCTGTGAATTTTGACGTTCGTCATTTCTGACGGTCATGTCAGTGAATGTATTCGTGTTGTTTTGCGAAAATATACCCAAAAAGTAAC